TCAAATCTCGAAGAAACATAATCACACTCCTCACGTGCATTTGATGTTAGCAGTATAATTTATGAAATAAAATACAGAAGTGGCAGTTATTCTCAGTCATAATAATTGAGAATTATTTTTTACATTGAGGAATAACAAGAATTGCTCTGGAATGCGAAGGGGAGAGATTTTTGAATGATGAGCCATGACGATTCTGTTATCATTGGACCACAGGGGCAACTCGAGTGGTATTTGTAATTTTAAGAGATGATCAGAGATGAATTTTCCCTGAGAACGAAATTACGAGACATATCTCATTAAGTGAGAGAAGAGATGAGAAATATTTTTTTATCAACCGAGTGTTTACGATCCATGAAAATAACAAGGTCCTTGGCAAGTAATATATATCAGTAAATCGAGGTAGCATTTCGTTGCTGTTTACCCCAATTGATTACGCAGTGAGAGGAAAGATTATTCATGTGAGAAAATTGACCACACGATGCATTTCATTAAGGGAAATCTATTCTTTCGGGATTGATCCTATCGAGTGGATAATTCTGCAGAGGAGTGACCATCAATATTTAATTTTCCACACCATTCAGTAATTTTTACGTTGAAAATAAAAAAATAATTTGAAATCAATTGAAATTTCACATCTCAAAACTACAATGAGACATATTCTCTTCCAACCTCTAATTACCGAAATTCATTCTAATTGACATTCATACAACTGCAGAATTCCCCGGTACTTGATATTTTTTTTTCGAGCAATCCTAGAGCCGTTCATCTTACGGAGGCTTTAAAATAAAAGGATAATATTAAGCCATTGAATGCGCACACCTAGATTTAAATTTTTTATAATGGTGCTGAATAAAAGAAAAAAAAAGAGAGTTAAATTGTCATGGCAATTGAACTAAATTATGTACGCAAAGCATTGAATCTCGCTGCTGTCAGGACTATTGAGCCCCAAAGTCTATTGAATTGTTGAATTGTCTCTTGAATTGTCTAAAGATATTTTACCTATTGAATTTATCAATGTAATTTATTGAATCCTATCACTTGCAAGGCAACTAGAACACCAGGTTTTCGATATCCAGCTGTTAACATGTCATGAAATGAGTTAATCCAGTAAACAAATGTATTTCAACAATTATACGCCACGCATGCAAGTGATTGTCAAAGAAGAAAGTCTATTAACGCTTAGTGTAAAATAAAACAAGTTGGATACCAAAATTCTACATTAAAAAATAATTAAATAGTAATCCTTCGTAATAAGTGAATTTGATCAAAATGAATTACTCGTTCAATCGCTTTAAAATTACCATGTATATTTTATAAGCAAGTAATATTAATTAAATATTAATTGATTATTACAATAAAGATTCAGACGTATCGACTCATTATTCTTTTATCCCCTCCACACCTCGAACATACGACAATCATTTTTTATTTCAAGTGTCAAAATTGACAGTGACTTAGAAAATTGAATAAATAAAAAAATTATTTAAAAATATATCAATGCTTAACGTTCAAATCTGTGCTCCTCCCTCAGCAGTAGTTTTATTATTACTGTCACTATCGTCATGGTTATGCATCTGCAAGTGGGGATTTTGTTACAACATGCGAGACAGTGAAGTATAATTAATTTT